AGTTTACGTATGGTATTTACATAGCTTATGAAAGACCTTTCTCTTGTTAATCAAGGTTATATTTAATGATCAGTAACCCCTCTTTGTTCTTTATTATAAAATAAAAAAATTAATAAAAATTGGACAGGACCAATTGAAGAAACTCAAATTGTGTTTTCCATGTCTTGAAAGCACAACTTGGGATATATTTATACTTATATATAGCTTTGTTCTAACACAGGTATTTTGGGCAGTTTTCGGATAACCGGCTCTTGGCGACTTCGCTACAGCGGCCGGTGGTGGCGATTTCCGCCAAACCCGGCTACCGACCCCGACAACTTTCTGCTGACATTTAGGTTACTGTAGAATCCGGAGTATCGGGAGGGATTTAGGGAAAACTTCTGTGTGTTCATATTGAAGGTCACGTGACCATTTTTCTTCGCTTCTGCTGCGTGGTTAGAAGTTGAGAAGTTTGTCTCCTACTTGATCGGAGCGTAGGTAAATAAATAATAGTGTTAAATGCGAATTAAAACCGATAATTATAAATAAAAATGTTAAATGGGAATTAAACCGATAATTATAAATAATAATAATGTTAAATGGGAATTAAAAACCGATAATTATAAATAAAATAATGTTAAATGGGAATTAAAACCGATAATTATAAAAATAATAATGTTAAATGGGAATTAAAAACGACAATTACAAATAAATAATAATGTTAAATGGGAATTAAAACCGACAATTACAAATAATAATAATGGTAAATGCGAATTAAAAACCGATAATTATAAATAAATAATAATGGTAAACGCGAATTAAAACCGATAATTATAAAATAAATAATAATGGTAAATGCGAATTAAATAAAACAGATAATTATAAATAAATAATAATGGTAAATGCGAATTAAAACCGATAATTATAAATAATAATAATATGTAATTAATTATTATTTTTATGTTTTTTCTCTTTTGCTTTTCATTTCTTACATGTATACGGATAATTAAATATAATAAGAAGATTAATTATTATTTTTATGTTTTTCCCTTTTGCTTTTTATTTTTTACATATATTGTTCGTAATTGGAGTTTCAATAAAAAAAATTTAAATTCCCTTTTGCTTTTCATTTTTATTTTTAGAATTAAAACGGATAATTAAATAAATGATAAATTATTAATGTAAATAATAAATTAATGTATGTAAATTCGGTGTCCCCTACTTGATCGGACCTATTTTGACACAAAATCAGACCTTTTTCTGAAATAACATACCGATTTTTTTCCATATTTTGATTCTACAACTCAAATTATGCCTAAATATTAAATTTCGTAAGTTTTGCTAAGATATTTAAAAATTTATCTTGCCAAATTTGTTTCAGCTTGCGTCAAAAATAATTCACGTTGCGAACTTCTTGATTTATAGCAACAGATTTGGTTGATCTTTACAATATGGTAACTGGTAGTTTGGTGACATTTTGGAGGCGATAAAGGTTACTACCTGGGACTTTGGTAATATGTGAGCAGTACTCAGTTCCGATTACGCATTATTTTGCGTGAGGGAAATGAGAGATCATGGGATATGTCATGTGATATTAATGGACGAATTACGGTTCTTTAATCAGAAAAGGGGGAATATTGGGAAAAATGTGGAAATTTTGTATTTAGTTTTATTGTGTGTTGTGTGAAACAGTGTTGTTTAATTTTTGGATCCCATGGCCCTAACTAAAGTGAATTCGAAATGGCTATTTAGGCATTGTGATAAAGAGAAGTTTGCTTTTTATTTAGCAGAGGAAGTATGGAGGAAAAATTTGCAGAAAAAATCTTTCAATAATTTTATTGATTGAATTAGAAAAGTGTATCCGCCACGTAATCAAGATTCTGAAGAAGATTAGGTAAGTTAGTATTTTTAATTATTTGAGGATATTATTTTTATGCATTGTTCTAAATGTAAGGTGGAAAGGAATTTGGTATTATTGGGAAAATTGTTATTAGCAATGATTTAGTTTAAAGTAATTAGGATTGTAAGGTAATTTTTATTAATTTAATGTATGTGCTCATTTATATTTTAAGTAGTTTGTTTTTAAATTTAATTATATTTTAATGAAATGATAGTTTTTTGTGATTTTATGTTTGTAGGAATTTGGTATACGTTTAAAGTTGAAATAAACGTGCATGGAAATAATTTAAATATTTGATACTAAGTATTTGTAATGCTTGCGGTATGAATTCGTTGGTGACGTGTATAATGTAATAGATGATTTAGAGGTAAAAGTTTTTGGATCTTTTATTTATTTTATATGTGGAAATGTTCATATTTGTAAAGGGTAAATACTTTTTCGCGATCAGGTAATTTCATATATGTTCTTTTTATTTTACCGGGTTTAAAAGATTGAGAAAATTGTCATGTATTTTCGTGAAATTTTTCTAATTTATGAGAAAAAAAGCAGTGTACATGGATATGGTGAAGAGTGTGCGCAATGCCATTTTTGTGGTGCAATTCTGGGATGTTTTTTTTAAGTAAAAATAAGTCGGCGTGTACATGGTTTATGTGTATGTGTTTATTTTGAAAAACGCGTAAGGAGTATGGTATTGTGTGCACTTTTTCCCAATTTTGCAGTGAATATTTGTCATGATTAAGCAGTTTTGTTTGATAAAATTTCTAGCATAAGTTGTAATTCGGCTAGTAGATTGTTGGAAGAAGTGTTCAGTAGATAAGAAGAAAAGAAACATGTCTTTACTTCGTGAAGACAAAATGGCGGCGGAGGAAAAAAATAGAGGGTTGCTGTAGGAGAGTTGGTTGCCAAATTTTCGCCAAAAAATTGCCAAGTTACCATAATGTAAAGATCAACCACAGATTTTCCTTTCCTTTTTCTTCATTGTCCATGAGCAGAAAAAAAGGTCATTGTTCATACTTTCAAATAATTTTAACAAAGTGCATAAACCACATTTTCATTATCATAACTTGTAATAAATTAGCAAAATTTCAAAACATGCCAAAGTATAAATTCATGTATATCTTAGAATACATGAATTCTCTGAATGAAAAACTAATTTTTTACAGGTATGTTTAGAAATAAATACAGCTACTTTAAGATAATACAAATTTTTTAGGTTATAATTCAAAATCTTTTAAAAAAAATTTATAAAAATTATTAAGAATACAAATTATGAAATAAATCATAAAATAGACGAATTTTATTTGGTGGGGTGCAGAATCACCCACTGCTAGGCACGCTTTTAAGAATTGCTCAAACTCTATATCCATATACACACTGACCTATTTTCACTTTCAAAAAAAAATCGGATAATTGTACAAACTCAGCATTGCGCACTCCCTTGACTTTCTCCATGTACACATTGATCTATTTTAACTTAAAAAGTCAAAGTAAATTGGGGTAAAGTGCAGAATAGCCCACTTATTTCTTTGGCACTTTTTACAAGAATTGGAGTTTTGTCAATTTTCTTTGACTTTTTACGCAAAAATAGGTCGATGTGTACATGGATAAAGTAAAGGAAGTGCACAATGCCATTTTTGTGCAATTCTGAGATTAAGCGAAAATAGGTTGATGTGTACATGGATACCGAGCATGTGCAGTTCTTAAAAATGCACTAAGCAGTGGGTGTTTCTGCACTTTCCCAAAATTGATAAAAATCAAATTCTTCTTACACTTGTAAAACACGCCAAATAGGTGGGCGACTTTTCACTTTACTCTTATTTGAATGAACCTAAATTTCGAAATGTGAAAGGAACAATCAAACTAAGTTTCGTAAAAAAGAGATACAGTCAAGTTTTTTTTTCAGTGTACACGTGCATATCTATATTTTCTTCTACTGAACATGCACTGCAGACACCAGCAGCACTCGTAGAATCTTAAACTGATGCCTCCTTCACCATTACCACATAAATTCTTAGTCAGCATCTGTTGATTTGGTTTCTCCAGAATGTAACTTGATCTGATCCATGGATCTTTAATTTAGTGCTGACTTAATTATTTAAAGTATTAGTACATATATTTGTGAAGTAACTTTAACCTTAAGCATACTTTATGCCAGTGGTTTACCTTTGAAGGTTTCCCAGATAGATCCATATCCTCAAAAGTTTGAAACTCACGGTATCTTTCAAAACTTTATTATTTAACGATTTCAACAGTATTTTTTTTTGCTTTCATAGATAATACATCACTTTGTAAATCAATCACCAACTTACAAATCTTTGATAATTCATATATACTGAAACATTAAAATTTCAAAAATCAACCATGAAATTGAAAACCACAATAAATTTTGTGTGATAATCAAATGACTTTACTTCATAGAGCTGGTAACAGATTAACTATTATCAATTTAATAAATACTCTTAATTTCTAAGTTCTGCTTTATTCTGAATAAGCGATAAATGTTTTACTTTAAAAATAACTTATTCTACAGTAGTTAATAATAATTTAGCTTGTTTTAAATCACTTATAAGTTTACATTATTTTCTATTCCAGATTATATAACGACCGAAATTTCTACTACAGATTTGCAAATCGCAATACTTTTGGCCAAGACAATGTAAAAGTTAAGCCTTTTTATTTATAATTTTAATAGACAAAAATATTTTTTTTTACCGAAAAGGTAATAATTAATCTATCTTCTACTAGAATACAAGGGAAAAAATAACACGTAGATTCATCTGAAAAATACGGTAAAACACTTTATGGTGAAAACAAGTTTAATCTCAAAAAAAATTATTTTAAACAACTATCTAATGGATAAATGAATGATATAATTCAAAAATTAATATTCTGCTTAGACATCAATGAGCGATTATTTCAACTTCATTCCTATAAATTAATACGCATAAAACTAATGCGCCAGACTGTTACATAATGCATGCACTTTTTTTACAAAACCTACGCGAACAAAGATTAAACGAAATAAGTACCTATTATAAATGCAGACATTTTAATAGAACTTATCCAATTTCTTAAAAGTAACATTAATAACGAAAATATGAAAAAAAAATTTACACTTTACCCTATCATGAACCTGCGTTGCTATGTTTCTTGTTCCACACAAATTTGGAATCAAGGAGGACTTTATATACGTTGTACTAGCGCTTCGCATGGCTTTCCACATTTTGAAATTTAATATTTTAATAGAATAACAGTGATATATACAAGTATTTTTATTTAATAGAAAAATGCCGACAACCCTAATGGGAAGGACAAAGCTGAAAGTGCCTGACGAAATCGGTAAGCACGTTTTTCAAAGTAACAGTTACGAACCTCTATTAACCATAACTGAATAATGGCAGGAATGATAGCACAAGAACTTCATAAATATTTGCTCATTTTGCAATTCAACATTAAAATTTGTCAGAAAAACAGCCTTAATGAAGAAATCTTTAATAGCTACATAAAGTTAGTACTACTTATTTTATGCAGAAGGAGGTCTTCATTCGCGCACTTTGGAAGCAAGAACTGTGAGAAAATTTGTTGGCACTGTTCCCTCTTGAATTTATTTTTTAAATTTACATTATTTGAGCAGAAATGATTAAAACAAACTCATATATTAAGTATTATTTAATACAAAACCATTACATTAAGTATTATGTACCTATTACCTAATATATTACAAATGATTACATATTTTTCTAACAGCATTGCCTTTGTTGGGATAGTGTTTAGGAATATTGTTCTCCTTTGTTACTTGTTTGTTTGTAACCTATCAAGAAATTATTGTTAAAGTAATGGAAGAGAAAAAATGCGTCTTTAAAAAAAAAACATAGTTTTTCAAGTTTCTTACTTTGTCTGTCATTGCTTATTTAAATGTTTCGATACTTTTTGCCTATTATTAAATCCTTATCGAAAGTAATTTTTCCTTCCGTCCAGGTCGGCTTCAGGTCCAGTGTCGGAATTTTCATAAATTTCGTTAGTGTATTTGAAATAATTTCATCATTTTTCAGTTGTAAAGAAAAATTAGTCTCAGATCCAGTCTAAAACAATCTGAACTCCACTGAAAGTTCAGGCAAATTTAGTTTTTTTTTTTTTTTTGGTTTAAAAAAGAGTGAGATAATTTAAAACTGGAAACTCTGAAGCGTCACTTTCAATTGAAACAAAAAAATGACACAGGGAAAAAAAATTAAAAAACGAAAAGAAGACAAAAAGAAAAAAAAATTGCTGTGCATGGGCTAAAATATCTGTGATCAAGAATTCCATGCCTCAGACAGGCAAGAAATCCTGTTTTTGATACTGGACTGTTTTGCTAGAAAGAAATGTGGGATTTAATTTTTTTTTCATAAATTTTATGCATTTTGTAGCTCTTTATGTGTTTCGCATTTGCTCTCTACATGCGTTTTTATTGTTTGTATGTGACATGTAATACTTTTATTCCTTTCAGTGAGAGAAAATGAGTACTTATTATAAGCAACTTAAAGTTAAGTGATTACAGTGGTAGTCAGTTGTGGCAGTTTTTGCTTTCGGCCAGTATTTCACCTTGTAGCGATCTCGAGAGCCACTCAACGCTCGCAAATACGAAAGAGTTGGAATTCTTGAACTTAGCGCACGGGAGTTCTTTTGCTCTAGTGGTAGAGAATTCGACTGGCATTATAAACAGACGCAAGATCGAATCCCAAGGTTATCACCATCTTCAAGATCACGCGAAGTCGTGTGTTGCAGCACTTGTCACGGGTGCTAATAGATGGAGACACGAGCAAGCAACTGCTCACTCGAAGCTACCGAGGTCTTTCGCCCCATGCAATCGCTACAATCTTCAGTAGAATGGACCGATGTTTCTTTTAGAAGACACCACAAAAATATCTCTGTCTGATCTATACTGTAGACTTGCTGTGTACTCAGTTCTTCTTCTCTCAACACTTTTGAAAATTGAATGAGCTCGCTGCTTTGTCTGTTCATGAGTTCTTTCCAAAACATTTTAAATAGCATATGACATATAATCTTGTGAGTCATTTTGAGAAAATGGAAATTACTCTTAAATCTTCAAGCTTCATTTCTTTATGAATTTCTCCAACTCTCTTCTTTAAAATGGTCCCTTTATAGGTACAGTCGGTCACAAAAGTATTCGAACACCGGTACCCTATCAGAAAATGACAAGATGGCGTTTTTTTTCTCTTTCTCTCTGTGTGTCGTGTTATTCCATCCTAGGTTTTCTTCTCCCCCCCCCCATCTTGGAAAAAACTGGAAAAAATTGGTCACGATCTCTTTTTGAATGGGGAGATGCCATTTTGAGAAAAAGCTGACGACCCTATCTTGGAGAATGAACATGACCGCTCTACACACCCTTTTACTCTCTCTCTCTCTCTCTCTTTGAATTGGGAAGCCATTTTGGGAAAAAGCAGACGACCCTATCTTGGAGAATGGAAATGAACGCCTCTCCCTCTCTCTTTGAAATGGGAAGCCATTTTGGGACCCTCTATTCTTGGGGAGGGAGAAAACTGAAGTCTGCATTTCGCTGTCTCTGAATGCGGAAAGCCCTTTTGGGAAAAGCGGACCCTCTTCTTCTGATCTTGGAGAACTGGAAATGAACGCTCTACACGATCTCTCTTTGAATTCAGAAGGTATTTTGGGACCTTCTAATGTTGGAAAACTGAAATGAACGCTCTACAACACTACCTTCTCTCTCTCTCTCTTTCTCTGAAATGGGTAGCCATTTGAAAACTCCCTAACTTTGGAAAAAAAAAAGAAATGAACGCTCTACACCATCTCTCTTTGAAAATGGGGGGGGCGTCATTTTGAGACCACCCTCCCCTAAACTTGGAAAAAAAAACTGAAATGAACGCTCTACACTTTCTCTCTTTGGACATGGGTAGCCCTTTGGGGACCCTCTCCTCTTGGTAGAAAAAAAAAAGAACTGAAGTGAAGGCTCTACACAATCTCTCTTGGAATGGGATCCATATTTCGGGAAACGTGGATCACCTCATGCTGGAAAACTGAAGTGAACCACCAAGATTGGACTCTATATAATATTTTTTTTAATTGACATCATGACCCTCCTCCAATTTGTTATTAAAAAAATTTTTTTTTGTTTTGGTTTTTATCCCATTTCCGATGTGATTTCAGAAATGCAATTCCATAACAGTTCAATTTCATTCGAGGTTAGTTAAATGATCTAAACAGTCTTTGACCCACCCATCCGTATGATTATTTTCTTCTCCTTCCTGTTGCACCCAAATTTTGTAAGTCCATATAATCATTCCATACGGGAAGGGCTGGATCCTCACAAGGCTGTCTTGAAACACTTGGAGTCTCTTTGGGATGAGTGGAGGGATCTAGGATGTCTGGACCCGGCTGCGATTCTACCTCCATGATTTCTGGACCCGTTGGAACTTGTTTACCCGGCTGAAATTCTACCTCCATGATTTCTGGACCCGTTGGAACTTGTGAACCCGGCTGTGATTCTGCCTCCATGATTTCTGGACCTGTTGGAACTTGTGGACCCGGCTGACATTCTACCTCTACGATGTCGGGACTTTTTGAAGCTTGTGGACCCGTCTGACATTCTACCTCTACGATGTCGGGACAGGTTGGAGGAGAAGAAGAAGATACTGGAAGAGGTTCTGTCTGTGAGGAGTCCGAAAGAGGTTGCCTGTTTGAACAAGTCGGGGAAGAAGAAGAAGCTTCTGGATTCTGAAGCGGATCTTGCACGCCAGGTAGGTTCCGGTAAGTCGACCGTTTTTTAAGAGGTAATTTTTTTTCTTCCTCCTCATCTTCAATTGTGATGACTTCAATTTCATTCCGTTGCCGGGTCGATTTTGTTTCGGGCCAAATGACGGTTTGGTCCAGCTCCTCTTATCATCTAAGGAAGGGATGGGTAAAGGTGGCGGAGGGTTTTCTTCTTCTTTTTCTTGAAACATCATCGGCGGCGATTGGAAAGAAATCTCCTCTTTCAATTGTTTCCAAAGCGAGTACGAGCACCGATCGACGAGAAAGAGACTCTTCTGGGTTGTGACGATGAGATATTGCGTTTTCGGGGGAACGACATAGTTTTGAAAAGGTCTTAGAATATATTTCTTATATTTCATCCTGTCGCTGACTTTAAAACTTCTTTCCTTCAGATTGGGGGACGATGATTCGTAATAGGCGAGAGGAGCGGCTGTGGTTTGAACAATATGAACTTCGTCCTCAGCCGTCGTTCTCACTCCAAACGTAAAATATCGTTTCGTGAGAAAAATATTCTTCCACCGAAAACTCGTGCGCGGATCTGTATATCGCCGGTCTGTTTGAATGGGCCGTCTCAAAGCTCGATCCATCCGATTCCAAGAGAAGGGAGATTCCTCTTTCGTTTGTTGCGATTCGAATAAATTTCTGTATATATTCTGAACGAGCAGGTTGGAGGATTCGACATCTTGGTTGAAAGAAACGATCGCTTGATGAGGTGGTAAATGCGGAATAAATGTCGCACAATGACACGCCAAAAAAATTTTCAAGTTGGAGATTTGCTTTAGCGTCTTCAAATCCTCCCCGTTCGAAATCCGTTGAGTTGGAAAAACGTCTAATAGCGACATGGCTCCCAATGGAAAAGAAATGATCTCGCCCAGTACTCTCGTCTTTTTATATATCTATATAGACACACACAGACACACATAGAGGCTCTATGACGTCCGTTTTATTTGTTTTTTTTTGTTTCTCTCTCTCTTCTTTCCAAGAAATCTTATCTCCATGACCTCTTTTTCTTTTCTTAAAAAGATGAATGTGTGTGGGAATGAGGAAGTGAAAGTAATAATTTAATAAACAAAAAAATTATCCAACCATGACCTTCTTTTTTTTTTCAAAGTCACCCTTTCCAATCCAAGGACGTCCAGAGATAGAGGAAGCAGGGAGAGAGAAGGAGGGAAGGGAAGGTCACACTCTCTTTCTCTCTATAAATAAAAGGGGAGAGAGCCCCAAAGTCGTATTTTTGTCCAAGTGGATCATGAGGAGGCATCCCCAGCTCACTACGTGTATTCCTTTCAAATATAAATATGTTGATCTTTCCTTTTATATCATCCAAGGAGTCGTTTACCTGAAAGCCTCCGATTTTTCAAAATGTGCGGGTTATTATACCGTGGGGAGTTATCAAAAGATGCGGGACGAATTTTTGTCCGACGAAAACGTGTTGATGGCTCGTGACATTCCACCTTTGGATGCACAAATTTTGTTAATGAAACGAGCCAAATATTTTTACACGTCCCACTTTCTAACCGTCTCGCAAATGAATAGGATTATGGATCGTCTTGAGAAGACAAAAGGGATTCTCGTTCATTTTAGTGA